CAACGCCACACAGCTCCAAAACAGAACTGCTGGTGGGTTTGAAAGTTCAGCATGTGTAGTAAGTGACTCAGTCCATCAAGATCTCAGGAGTAGCGGAGATGGATCTAGCCTCAGCATATCCTTCTGTGCCCTTACTGAGCCGAAGACACCTCCACCAGGACACCTGTGACATGCTGGTGCCTTTTTCTGTCTCTGTATACTCTGGAGAACTATCAGGTCCTGAAGGGTCGGGGCCAGAGGACAGCATGTGACTAAAGTTAACCGCTCTGGCTTTAGAGCCAGACAAGGCTGAGTTTGAATCCCAGCCCAACCACTTATGGGTTGGTTGGATAAGTCACTTCTCTCTGAGACTCAATTTTATCTATAAAAATGAAGACCTATATAGCCCCTACCCTCCAGGGATGCCTGGCAGAGTCTCCATTCCATAAATGTGAGCCATTATCTCTATCTCTGGCTACCACTGCAAGGCATAGCACCAAGTCGGGTCTCAGAAAATGCTCAGGGAGGAGACAGCCCACAAGATCTGGCCATAACGAGTTTTCAGTAATAAGCGCACAGCACAAATTCCTGGTGCTCAGTGGTCTTCAGGCCCAGAACAAATTCTTGAGTGTTCTGCCTAGAACTCAGAGGACCTGGCAGCAAACAGCTTTCCTCTGCTTGCTTGTGAACAGCTGATGCTGAATTTGCACTCAAACGCTTGCTGTGCCTCCGTAAGGTGAGGCAGATCCCAAAATAAACCAGCAGAGAAACAGGAAAATCACTTCCAGGAACAGAAGGCCCATAGGGAGGATGCTGACAACAATAACCGAGATAGGCTGAGTTCAGGAGGGGGACCTGAAGGGGCTTCAGGGCTGACTGGCTGGGACCCAGTTCCCATCTGGCCTGGGGGGAAGACCCATGAAGTCATGGGTTAATCCCATGATGTTTCAGACTGATGCAGTCTGGAAAATGTGCCTTCAAATGAGAGCCCATGTTCCCTAGTCATGCCCACTTGGAGCCTGGAGAACAGAACTTTTATTCTGCCTCCAAAAACTTGAGAGAGAGAAGATACTGGGCTATCAATAACTGTCAATATAAACCACGGTTTAAAATCAGTTTAAACCAGTTCATTCAAAATGGGGGTGCCTGCAACACCAACCAAACACGGGAAATTATGAGTTGAGGGCTCGGAATGGAACACTAAAGAGAGGCATAAGTGAGCTGCCAGGATGATGGAGAGTTATACATATCAGAGCAGCAAGTCAGCCTTGGAGCAGGTTACTGCTGTTTCTTCCACACAAGAAATGAGGCTGCTATGCAATATGGATGCTGTCCTTGTTTTTTTAAGAGGAAGATTAAGCTTCTAGCAAAGTGTCAACCTGTAATTTTTCTAGTTCATGTTATCATTCCAGGAATCCACATTTTGAAAATTCCAACCCACCGTGGTTTCCCTTCTTAGCTCTGAAAGAACTGGTTCAAAGCCCAGACATTAACTAGCAGTCTACCATTTTCTCAAAAGCCCTCCATCTTCCGGTACCATATCCCTGATTCTGAGGCAAGGAGCGCTCTGCTAATACCTTCTGCACATGTTTATCTACTCCCGCATCACAGTCTCTCTGGAGGGGCAGAGGGAAAACAAATAACATTTCATAATCATGGAAGCCTCTCCTTCACATCCTAAAAGTTTCCATCTCTATCTTAAAAGCAAAGAGGACAGGAAAGCTATAGTCATGTACCTTCACTGTCATTCAATTCCAAATTAAACTGAAAGGTGATACAGGTAGAAAATTTACCAGTTCCAATCACAACTATATGCTGAGTGATGTCTTCATGTCAGGAATCGGACCGAGGGCTCCACACTTACCCCTCATCAGATCTTCACAACAGCCTCTGCAGCAAACTGAGCAGGACACCCCCCTCACATCACTGATGGGCAAGCTGAAGGGGAGGAGGATTCAGTGACTTGCCCAAGATCCCCTGGAAACAAACCTAGGATTTGAAGCCAGGACTGGCTGTGGCTTAAGCTTGCCCCCTCTTTCCAATTAAATTACACTCCCTCTCCATTTACCTACCCATAAATAAATCTCCAGGAGAGGCTATAAACCCTTTGACCTTTAGATAGCTGTGCTGGAAGTTCCCAGGCAGAATTTGGCATGTAGTGAATTAAATATTATACTCTGGTTAAAAGCAAGCGCCAGCCATCCATGTAGACCACTGGGGTCAACTTCCAAACAACAGACACACATATAATATTTCCTCAATATCTAGACACATGCAAAACATCTCAGCCCTGCACTAAAGCCTTAGAATATCTTTCTTGTCTTAGAATATCTTCCTACGGTTTCAGTCCACAGCACTAGACCCCAAAGTAAACTATATCAGATACTGAGTCAGAACAATCTTCCCACCTAACTTCCACAAGATGTAATCAATTAATATGGTACATTGGACCCTGCCTCATGGCAATAGGGAAGCCATAGGAGATTGATATGGCCAACACCTGATGTTTAGTGCATTCCCCTCTCTGGTCCTGCTTTGCTGATGAAGGTAGGAAGAAACGCTTTGGAGTAAGGCGAGCATGATTAGAACCAATGCTGTTTTCCCCTCTGTTTTGTGGCAACTTGGCTGGGCCAAGATTCACAGTGGTTTGAGAGTTAAGATGTAGTCGTTCATCATGACGAAATCTAATATAATGCAATTACTTCCATGAGCAGCCAATCTATGAAAGGAATTTTCCTTGGGGAGTGGCCTGCTTTCAATATATGTGCATGCTGTGGAAAGGCCTGGTTTCTTTTTGCTGAGCGTGTACCCTGCTGAGTGTGGGTAGTTTATCATCTAGCCTCCAATTCTTTGGCCTTGGCTCAGCAACCTGATGCATTACTTGCCAATCCTGGGAGTTGGCAGCAGCCTGCAATCTCATCTGCTGACCTTGGGTTCGGGAGCCTGCCATCTGATCGGCTGTTCTTGAGTTCATCGTCAGCTCCATGCGTTAGAAGAAGCCTCTAGCCTGACATCGGACCCCAGGACTAAAACCTTGCCCACCTCTACAACTGTGTGAGCCATTTCCTTTCCAAAAACCTGTCTTTATACATATGTAATTAAGCTTCTAGAGAACCATCTAGAACCCTCTAGAAACCCTTCATCTTTCAGAAGAAGAGGCGGTCTACGACCTTGAAGATCTACAGTCTCGGAAACTACAGGTGCCATTCTACTCTTACGGGGTGCTCTAGGTAGGAAAGGACTCAATGGCATTGAGTTTTGAGAACCCAGCCCAAGCCACCCTCCAAGCTACCAGGTCTGAGTGTCTATGCTCAATCACAAATGTGACTAACTTTCCCCAAAAGATCTCAAGGTTAAAGAAAGAAGACTTTGGGGGAACTAAACAGGAAGCTTGAGCAGAAGAGCTTATGAGAAGCCCTTGAGAAACTAGAAGGCAGGGGAAGAAGTCAGTGGGGCATCAGCCCCCAGGTTAAGTGTAAAAATGAGTATTCCACTCTAATTTTCCAGGAGGCTTTAAGAGTAAACATATGACCCCTTTTGCCCAAACTGTGGCTATTTCTCCTTTTTTACAATTATAGCCAGGGGATCTTCTGATCAACAATAAATAGCAACCCCCCTGCACAGAGGAGTGGGCATGGGCTCAGTGTCAGATCCTCCAGCCTTGCTCTACAATGTAGACCCAAGGCCTTGAAGGTCACACTCAGCCATAAAAACATATGACAGAGGAGTGGGGGCCACAGGATATTAACCTCCATCGAATGTAGGCACCAGCTACCAGCTACCTAACACCTCCATCGAATGCCTGGATAAAAGTGACATAAGCTGTATCACAAAAAGCCAGTGGATACAGCCCATTATCTTCTCCCTTTCCATTCTCAGAGAAGCTGAGGGTGGGCAGTCAGGGGATGAATCTGCTGAACCCACTATCTCTTATTCCTCAAATCTTCTTCTGCCTAATTTCATCAGCTCCCACTTGGCTTGCTGGTGCTTCATCACACCTCCGTGGCAGCAACTACCCGTATGCAACCGCAGCAGGAGTGACATCGCTACCAGAAAGTTGGCTGGCAAAGCAAAGACTGCCACTGCCAGAATAGCAGCAATGGGGGCAGTAAAGACATGGTAATAAATATTGGCAGGGTGGTGATGAAATACCACGTGGCAGGTGCCAGGCCTTGCCATCCACCTTGCCACAGAGCAGAATACGAACAGCCTAAAGCTGAGGATAGGCCCAGGTTTCAGCATGGTGGGGCTCTAGAAAGGACTGCTGGAACTAGGAAGAGGAAGAGGGAGGAGGGCAGGTCCAGGCTCTGGGATCACACTACCAGGGAAGCTGAATGACAATGAACAAGTGACCTAACCTCTCTGAGACTCAATGTTTTCATCTAAAAATATATAATACTAGTTTCTATTACTGTGAAGATTAATAAGATCATGTCCAAGAAGCAAGCACAGCACCTGCATATGGTAAACACTCAATTAACAACTGGCTGTGCCTTATTTTAAGCCGTGAGGCCAGGCTCATCATGAAAGGGTCAGAAAGTCGTCCCTTCTGAGGATGCCCCACTTAAAAACCAGGCCAGGACGAGCCCCCATTCCTTGGCACAGGCTCCTATAACAACAGAACCCTCCTGTCCCACACCGGTACTCAGGACTCTCCCATGAACAATATTTCAGCAGCACTGAGCCGAGCAGCAGAGCCCGAAATAGCATTTGCAGAGCGAGGCACATGTCACTGACTCTCCTGTGCTTCAGAAGTGCAAGGAGAGAAAGTTTCAATCACTTGCTCAGAAAGCACGGCCACCCACCACCTGCCTTCCTTCCAGGGCATTCAGACATTCAATGTCTGTTCTGCTGGAAAATGAAGGTCCCTGAGCCCTACAGCCACAACTTGGACAGACCACGCTGTTCTCCTCCAGCAGGCCAGAGAATGGCTGCTCCTTCAAAGCAGCCCTGTGGGGACAAAGGACATATGCAGGTTGAATTCAGAGTACGTTTAATGGGGACAGAGGTGGGATTGGTACCTGGGCGAAGAGCTTGCCACTCATCGGTCGGGTAAAACACCTCCAGGCCCTCCAGGTCCAGCTTCTCCTTTGCTTCGCTTTCCCTTTTCTCTGTTTCTTCGGTGCTACTCTTCTCTGGGTTGGTCAGCGCAAACTTGTTCTGAGCAAACAAAGGAGAGAGCGTGATCCACCACAGCGAAGCACCACACAAGCAGAACAAGAATAGCACAGTCTTCTCCCTCCATGGCCCTCGGCCCCTCCTCAGGCATGTCTGGTCACCCACAGTTTCACAAACATGTGTGAGGCAATATGGTTAAATGAACAGGGCAGGCTAATTCAGGTGTGCGGTACTTTTGTGTGTGTCTAAGGAAAAGCCCAGAAGGTCCCACACTGTCTTGGAAAATAGGGGAGCCAGGAAACAGACTAGGTAGAGGAGTTGGCAAAAGGAATCAAGGAGGCCATTTTAATTTACTATATTTCTATACCAGAGGTTCTCAACCTTCCTAATGCCACGACCCTTTAATATAGTTCCTCATGTTGTGGTGACCCCAACCATAAAATCATTTTCATTGCTACTTCATAACTGTCATTTTGCTACTGTTATGAATTGTAATGTAAATATCTGATATGCAGGATATATTTTCATTGTTACAAATTAAACATAATTGAAGCACAGTGATTAATCATAAAAACAATATATGATTATATGTTGTGAAATATTTCTTTCTAATGACAAATAAATGAAACTTTGTCTTGAAGCATGATGTAGCATGGGTAACAGTCTTCACGCTGGGTACTCATGTATGTGGGCGTAGCTGCCTGTGGGCAGACTTGCCTGGAGACAGATAGAGGAGCTGTGTCTAGGTGACCCCTATTAAAGGGTCGTTCAACACCCAAAGGGTCGCGACCCACAGGTTGAGAACCGCTGTTCTATACTGTTTGCTGTTTAAAGTTCACACATATTGCTTTTACAATAGAAAAGCCTTGTACATTTTTTTAAATGCAATCCAAAGGAGAGAGTAAAGTTCCAAATAGCCACTGTAGGCTATATAAAATCAGACAGCTGAGGCCCAACTGGTTTCCAAGAAGCCCAGCAGAGACAGTAAAAGCTTTGGCAATTCCCCAGGAGTCTATGGGTAAATGGCCTCTTAGGCTACTCCAATCCATGGAGGAAGGGATACCCATGGGAAGGTGAGTGCCCAGCTGGGTTGAGGGAAGAGGATACGCAAGTTGGAAACTGCTTCCTAAACCTGTTTCTTTCTACCCCATAGAGAGCATGAAGGATAGATGAGATGGTGTCTGTAGAGCGCTTGCACTTAGAAGACAGAGATATGATATAAATACAGAGTATTATTCATTTTTGCTCCTTCCCAGCCTCCCAGTCCCTTTTTAAAACCTGTTCTTGCATAAAAGTAGCAAGACCTCAGGACATTGGAACTAGAGGGCTCCAAACTCTGGGAAAGTGCATTTGGGAGAGCACCAAGGAACCCACACTAGCACACCAGGAGGTCATTTCAGCCCCCTGACTACTCCTGTCATCACTTTCCTCCACCACCCAATTCCTTCCCGAAAAGAACAACAATAGGTAATTTTAAAATATTCCTTCCATGAAGCCAAACCTGTACCAGGTACTTTACATATATCTCATTTTGGTCTCCCAACAATTCTAACCCTGCATGAGAGGTCTAATGTGCCTCTTCTGAGCAGTGCTCCAGCTCCAGACAGGTATCCCCCAACCTGCCCGGTCCCACAAGGGTTGATCTTTAATTAGTTGTCAAGGAGGTTATAACGGTGTGAAAGTGTTAATAATGGCAATGTAAAGCCCCTCCATGGAATTTTGCACTTTAATAAGAAATAAAGGAATGAAATTCAGGCAGTAGAATTTCAGACCTTGTGAAGGACCAGTAAGGAAAATATCTTGGCCAAGAGGTGGCCCTCAGCACTGAAAGTTAAAGGTACAGTGGGTTCGGGGTGGGGCACTGCACCACTCCAGCTGTGACTGCAGAAAGAGCAATGGGGTCTTGGAGAAAGTGTGCCCCTTGAACACAAACACTGAGGACTAAAAGGGTATAAGTGGTGTAGGGTAAGTAGCTCTTGGGAGATGGATCCCCAAAAGAAAAGGGGAATGGACCAATGGATTTTATCAGAAGGATACTCATCAACTTGGGGCCAGGGCAATACTGAGACATGATTTGGATGGGCTTTTTTTTTTTTTCCCATCTCTTTTCTTTCTCTTTTGATGCCTGTCTATCACAAGGCAACAGGACCGAAGTTTTGGAGGTGGGGGCATAGAAGAGGAGAAGGTGAGGGGAGGGGAACAATAAGGCAATAATGACAGAAACAAGGGAATAGCATGAGATCTAAAAGTGATGGTGAGGAGGGGATAGCGTTCCTGGTGTTTGAGCAATTGAAATGTATCTGAGAGGAATTACTGAGAGGCGAATGATGGGTAAATATGATGGCAGGGCAGGAGGAAAGAAATAAGAAATAGAGGAAAGAACAAGAAAATAAAAGTTATATATATAGGTATAAATATAGGTATAACATATGAAAATATATAAAGATAGGTGTATTTGTCTATAAGTATTTGTATTTGCCTATATATTTATATATATAAATGCAACAAGGAAGAAGTTGGACTTTGGACCTCTACTTTCATCTTACCTCAGTACAAGAACGATTTGTTCTAATAACGTGGCAATATATGATACTCACCTTCCCAACCACTATCACTGAAGACAAAACGGATGCATAAGCAAAGTGGTGAAGAAAGCTGGTGGTGCTGGCTATCGAAAGATATAGTGTCTGGGATCTTAAAGGCTTGAAGTTAAACAAGTGGTCATCTAGCAGGGAAGCAACAAAGCCCACATGGAATAAGCACACCAGCCTGTGTGATCACGGCGTGTTGATGGGAATAGGTATCAGAAGTTCAAAAACAAGTAATCAAATTGATGTGAAGGAGCATCAACAAAATGGAGACCCAAAAACTACCTGTAAGATAATGGGACAGTCCCTTATAGAAGGGCCACATGGAAGGGATGATATGTCCAGGGTGCAGTATAGCACTATTGAAACACATAACTATCCTCTAGTTCTTTAATAGTTCCTCTCTCTATTATTATGGTATTAGTTTTACGTCATTAATCCTGTTAGACCTACATATGTTCATGTGTGTAATTAAGATAATTCGATGCATGAAATACAACATAGATAAACCCTTCAGGAATTGTAATGGGAATAATGATTCCCTGAGAGTACAGAAAGAGTGAGGGGTGGGGGTGTACTGACAGTAATAATGACTATATAACCCCACTCGAGGAGAATGGATAATAACAGAATGGCGGGTGAACAGGTACATTGGATGGTGCAAGATACAGGGGGGGGAAAGGAATAACAATAATAATATTTTATACAATAACAAGCATTCTTGGGGGATAGGGAAAGGGTGGGGATAAAGGGGAGCTGATACAAAAGAGTGCAAAAAGAAAGAAAATGTTCTGAAAATGATAGTGGCAACAATTGTACAATCATGCTTCATCTAATTGAACTTCATATTGTTATAATATCTTTAGAGCTCCCAATAAAATGGGAAGAAAAAAAAAAGCGGAGGCCCTCATCAGATTATGTCATATGTAATAGAGGGCATTGACTACTGCAAGGTAGAAGGCAGTACTATTTAAGAACTCAAGCCTTGCATCAGATAGTCCAAAATTTTAACCCATTTGTGGTGACTGAGAAAATTACCTAACTCTCTAAGCCTCAGTTTCCACATTTATAAAGTAGCAATATTAACAGTATATACAACATTCTTTAGGCAAGGTATTATGATGTAAAACAACAGTTCTAGGCACATGGAACCCACTACTACTATTACTTGCAATGGCAGTCATAAGTTCTAGGTCAGAAAAGTCCCTACTGTGACATCCTACGGAGACTGCATAGTAGAGCATCATTCAGGCAGGTTCAGGTGTAGCTTGATTCCCACAAACTTTTCTCATCCTTTCTTTAGCTTAGGAGGCGAAAAACAAGGCAACCTGGTAGGAGGGGAAGCATCCTACATCCTGAAGTCAAGGGCTTCCAAAATCTGAGTTCCTGGGGCAACCACTGTGTTAGTCTCTTTCACCACTTTACCTCCCATGCCTAGCATAGGGTTTCATTTGTAATTGGTGAAGAAAAATGAATGAATTAATGTTCCCTCACACAGGCCTTTATTCTGGGTACCTTGGAATGAGGCAAGCTCAAGGTAGAGAGTCTATTAGAGGCTAGCCTACATCCCACAACCAAGACCACCTTGTCCACTAAGTATGTGGAGTCTAATGATGTGTTCCAGGCCAGTCATACAGGTCAGCCCCTATCAGAACCACTGTCGCACACTAAACTTAGGGACTAAGAGAAAACGCTAATAATTTGCTTCAGAGGTGTGTGGGATCAAGTGCCTTCAGGGGCCAGGCAAGGGTGGATGTAAATGAGTCAAGTAGGCCAGGTGTAAAACCATAGGGAGTGATGGGACTGTGGGAACTGGAGGCCTCCTGCCTCGACTACAAAAAACAGCTGCTACTCAGCCCGCCCGCCCGCCACCACACATTCGAGTTTAAGAAAACAAAAATCTATGTTTTTATGACATTTTCTTATTTTTAGAATACTAAAAGGGCCAAACTAAACATATCTAAGTTACAAATTGCAAGTCTTGCTTTAGCCAGGTAGCTGCTGGCAGGTGCAGCTATATACAAGCACTCAAATTCTCCTCATCAAGAGAAGGATAACGAGACAAAGGGAATAGAGATGAGGAGATGGCAGAAAGCCCTTCAAAACAGAGGCAAAGGTTAGTGCTACGTCAAAAACTGGGGACTGGAAAATCTTTTCTGCTCTTTTTATTTTGGTCTAGATTTCTTTATCAAGGTTAAATTGATAATAGATTCACAAAAAAGATTAGAACAACGAGACTGATAAACTACTGAGGTTTCAAGCTATTGAACATTTGCAACAATCCTGAAACTGCTCAAAAATATTTTTGAGCTTCCTCCTGGTATCATCTTTATATTAGATTTCAAGATATACGTATTTGTGTGCACATGTACACGCACATGCACACACATACTCACAGCCATTATATTATAGTAAACCAGCCGCCATGAAGTTAATCCAACTCTCGGAGATGCCATGCCTGTCAGAGCAGAGTTGTTCTCTATCGGGTTTTCAATGGCTAACTTTCCTGAGGAAGTTTAGCAAGGGTTTTGTCCAAGGCACCTCTAGGTGCAATCAAAATCCCAACCTTTTGGCTAGTAGTCTAGCCAGTCCACCGAACTCATCAGATCTCAATGTGTGTGCTTCTAAAGTGCCCAAGTCATCTGTGGCCATGCTTAATGGCCAAGGAAGAACTCAGCAGCAGTGAGGGAAGTTCAATCACATGAACAAACCACAAGTTGAAGAGTGTATCATGTATGCGGTCCTTACAAACTATAGACCAGACACTGGGCTAAAGTGCTTCCCACTCTCCTACTCATCCTAGTTTCACCTTGAGGTATGAAATCTTATTCTGATTTTACAGATGAGGATGGATATAGAGCCTGGTCAAAATCATACTGCTAAGAAGATCAGGGAGATTTCAGTCTGGGCTTGCTGGGCTCCATGTTTGAATCCTGACTCACTTTTGTGTTTGTTTCTGGACATGTGGTCTAATGGTTGCACCCTGGGCACTGAGGGAATGAAGCTGAGGCAAAGAGCTCCTTAGCACATTTAGCAGCAGATCCCTCCCCCCACCCACCAGTACAAGTAAAGACTTTCATAGGAAAGGTAGAAAACATAGTCCCAGAGAATGGACAGGAACTCTCTCTTTATTTGGACAAGTTCCTGGGCAAGAGGAAAAGACCAAGGGATAAGAGAAGTAGGTCAGCCCCTTATCAATTCTGAAGTATATCCCTCCCAAACAGAGCAATGAAGTCCCCAGGGAATACCAAAAATAGACTTTGGGGCCAAGGCTTGGCACCCCATCAGACTAGGCAGGAAAACACTCCTAAAGGTCAACAAACAGACCTTGAACTATTCGTAGGCTTTTCTTTTTATTGTCATTGGTTTTGTTTGTTTTTTTTATTGTTGTTCTGTTTTCTTTTGTTGCTTTGTTGTGCTCTGCCTTGGTTTTTGTGCATATTATTATCTCTGCAGGTCTATCTACATAAGATAGGCGGGGTAAACAATCTGGAGAAAACAAATGGACCTACAGATCTGGAGGGACACCGGAGAGGGGGGAGGGGGGAGGAAGTGGGTGTTAACAAACCCAGGGACAAGGGAACAACAAGTGATCCAAAATTGATGGCAAGGAGGGTGTAGGAGGCCTGGTAGGGCTTGATCAAGGGCAAT